TTTTTTTTTTTTTGGTGGAACCGGGGATTGAACTCAGGCCCGTGTGCTTGCCAGGGAAGCACTTATTCCACTGAGCCATCTCCCTGGCCCTGATGCTAAGTTTCATGCCAGCCTTGGCTACATAAACCCTTTCTCAAAAAACAAACAAAAAAGATCTAAGAGTTATGGGAAGAAAAGCCATATTAGTAAGGGTTAAATAAAGCTTGATTTAGATGACAAAAAGGGAGAAGGTGCAAGAACCTAAACTCCACAGCCAAGAATTTGGAGTCCTACAAAGTCATGTCTGCAAGTGGAGGGTGTCAGACCTAGCACCCTGCATCTCGCCACTTCCACTTCATCTCACCAACTGCTTCACACTCTGGGCCGCAGAGCGAGTGGCATAGTAATGGGCAACCAGCAGCATCGTCTCGAACTCCTCGTGGGCTGGAGAGTTTGCCTCACTGGACTTCACTAGGTTTTCACACTAGAGGACAAGAACACAGCCTGGCTTAGGATCAGAGTAGGCCAGGGCCATGGATGGACAGGCAGAGAAGCGTGTCTGAGGCCAAGGAGGAGACTGGGGAAGGGACAGGCAGAGAAGCCCTTTACTGGCAAGCCAGCCTCCTCACCAGATTGAAGAACACATCCCTAAGATCTGCCCAGCTGTGGTAGGCCTCGGCACAGTTCGTCCCTGGAGAGCTGACCATGTCAGTGAAGATCCGCTTGTAGATGTTGAAGTTCTGGGGGTACAGGGAAGTAGGTATAGGGGATCTGGCTAAAAGGCTCAAGTAGAAGTGAACGTCAGTGGATGTAGGCTCAGAGGGAGAAGAAACAGGCCGTGTATGTGTGGGTGTCTGTGTGTGTGTGCGCACATGCGCCTGCACATGCACATCAGGGAAGTGACAGAAAGTGATTATTTTATTTTTAAAGGAAAGTACAAACATGACTATTCTAAATGGATGGTACTCTGTGAGTGGGGGAAATGTATGAATGAATGCAGTCATGGCATTAATGACTGATAGTCAGAGAGCTGTGGTTTTCTGGTAGGAAAGCAGTTTGTTCTCTAGAGAAAGCTGTGAAGACCTCTGATAGCTGAGCACAAGTCGTCTCTGGAACACAGGTCCCTAAGTATTAGCATAGACATTTCTTCAAGTGGTAAGCCCTCTGGAGAGGCTGGTGGGTAGGAACTCTGGACTACCAGACAGTTCCTCAAGGAATGGTGGGTTCTAGAGGAAGAGAGAAGAGTTCCCTGGTGGCAACATCTATACCAAGAAGACCGGTACCTGTGGGTTAGCAGGAGCTCCGTGCTGCACATAGAGGGCCAATGCCTGGGCATAGCCACCCTCTCGGATCAGATGAGTAGCATACAAAGCCACATACTTGTGCAGAATCTTGTAGTTCTGTGGGTGGGGAGGCAAAACATGAGACAGGTAGGGATCTGGAAGACCAGGTCATTGGGGGGGAGGGTTCTGACTGGAGGCCATGCATTTGTTTAGGATGCAATAGGCATGGGAGACCCCAATTTCAGAGGATGGGAGACTGAGCCCTCTGATGGGCATCAGAGATCTCTGGGGCTGGGACTGGGTTAAGTCAGCTCTGGAGCAAGTAGGGGAATCAAGGGAGAGTGCACAGAGTACATGGGAATCAGAAAGAGCAGTACCTGCTTAGTAGCTGTTTCAATGCACTTGTCCCACTGGCCCTGCTCCGCATACAGGTCCAAAGCAGCAACCACATCCACACCCACCAGCTACGGATTAATGGAAAAGGTAGCTCAAGAGATGACCCAAGAGGAAGGGGGAGAGAATGTAGTACTACTCTCTGTATTTTGTTTTTAACCCCATTTTGCAGTTTTGTGATACTAGGGATGTCCATCCCCTAAGCAAATGTGCCACTGAACCATACCCCAGCCCTCTCCCTCTGTTCTGCTTTCCAATAACTCCGCAAGTCTCACCGAGTCCACTTTGCCCTGGTTCTTGAGGAAATCCTTATAATGCTGGTCCACGTAGTCTTCATACCTGCAAAGATGTACAGAGATTTCTAGCTTCATGGTTCAGGGATGCCATACCTTCCCCATAAGAACTTTCAATTTTTACAGGAAGACAGACTGATCTGGTGAGAGCAGTCTTAACTTTACCGCGGATCTAACTCCTTAGCCACACGCTTGGCCTTGTTCCATTCTTCACCCTCAATAAATGCATCGATTGCCTCCTTGACAAGGTCCAGGTTCAGGTAGAGCTCTGCAGCCTGCACAGTGGGACACCAAAGTAGAGGCTATCTTTTCCTCCACTGCCTAGTCTCCCTGTGGTAAGATCTCCCCTCTGCCTTCCCACATCACCGCCTCATACACTTCTTGGGTGTGATGTTACCATCTTACCCACCTCAGGGCAATTTTTTCAGTCCCACTACCCTACTTACTGCACTGTGCTTTCCAATTCCAATCAGCTGGGGTCCCACGGCCCGAACTACTTCTAGACTGCGCTGGGGAGGTAGAAACTTGATGGAGAGTTCAGCTGCCTGGGTGGTGAACAGAAGATGGAAAGGAACAGGGAAGACTAGGCTAG